GAAGGAAGAAGGATAAGAGGTGGCAGATGAGGAATAGGCAAAGGAACAGAACAGAAGCCCTCTCCCTTCCCCTACTTAAAGAAAGAGGCACAGTAGTTGGGAAAAGCGCAGTGATTGGTGAAAGGCGAAACGACGAGGGCGAAAAACCCTCTCCCTTCCCCCATTCAATGCGGATGGGATACGATGGGACGCGCCCTGACCGATGGGACGCACCCTGCCCGATGAAACGGCGCTTGGTCAGACGGGACATGGCCTGGGTATATCCCACCACTACCGCACGCCGGGCGCAAGAAACAAGGCACCACTGCGCGCAGGTGGCCCTCCGCCTTCCCAGGCGGGACGTGGAAATGCCCAACGATGAGATCTCCGCTAGGAGAGACCAACGAGCTTCCTAAGTCAATCGGACGGCTCAGGCAAACGCCGAGAGATAGGTAAGGAGCAGAGGGACGCCCCATGTGGGCCATGCCGACTCCGTCACGAACGATGAGCGTGGATCCCGATCGAACATATCCGATAGGAGCTCCTCAAACCCCGTCACTCAAGTCATCAAGGTAACATTACCAACCCCACTATTTCTTTATATAATCATTCATTCATCTATACACGCATTCATTCATTCCATGCATCCGAGGCTTCGCATATGCAGTTAAATGCATCACAACGCTCCGTGTTGCGTCACAAAGCGGCAGTTGCCTCATTCAACATGAGCAACGACCGATCGGGGTTCGAAGGCCGACCCACGAAGGGCTCGAGGCCGCCTCGCATCAAACAAAGCTAGGGGAGAAAACACAGATGAGCCCCGAGCGGCCATCGCCCAGTCTGCCCCAAAGCAGATAGGGTCATCTCAACCTTCTTGTTCGATCCTAACCTCAGCCAAACCCACAGAATCTCCATCGAGGGGAGGCCAGCGGGCCACCCGGGTCGGTCTTCGGAACGACCCAGCCATCTGCCAGGTTGCAGGTTAAGGAGCAGTGGAATGTCACATGAGGGCTATGCCAACCCCATCACAAACTACGGACCTAGATTTTACTCGAACGTGCCCGTTAGTGAGCTCATCGAGCGCGTCACTCGAGCCATCGAGGCAAGCGACATTAGCTCAGCCCCTTCGGTTGTGAGAAACCACGGATGGGGTAACGCACAAAACTCAACCGACCCCTACCAAAGCCCAACGGGCTCAGGGGCTCAAGACACCTAATGCCTCGGCTGTGCTTGGGTCCGCGACTCCAACTCGCTCGATCCCTCGGCACGCTCGATGCCTAGATCCACGACTCCGACTCGCCTGATCCCTCGGCGCGCCCGACGCCTGGATCCGCGACTCCGATTCACCCGATCCCTCAGCGCGGCCGACGTCAAGGTCCATGACTCCGTCTCGCCCGATCCCTCGACTATCCGTCGACTATGCTAAATGCCTCGGCTGTGCCTGGGTCCGCGACTCTGACTCACTCGATCCAACGGCGCGCCCGACGCCAGGATCCGTGACTCTGACTCGCCTAATCCCCCAGCGCGCTTGACGCCTGGATCCACGAGTCCATCTCGTCCGATCCCTTAGCACGCCCGACGCCTTGGTTAGCGACTCCGACTTGCATGATCCCCTGATCTGCGACTCTAATTCGCCCGAACCCTCGGCACGCCCGACGCCCCGATAGACGAAACTCCGTCAGTCCCTCGGCCACGACCAAACGCCTGGGACCACGCTCCTAACGATGGGCCAGAAACTAGAAAAGGGAGGCTACGCCCACCAAAGTGCACACACTCATGCCCGCTGACAAGCGTAATCGGCATCCATAAGATAATACTTCCCTACAAGTTAAGTTTTCATTGACTAACATGACTGTCTGATAAAACTAAAAATGTACTAGTTTATCATTGACAATTCAGTTACCTTTCGGTAGCCTCAACCCATCATTCCTCTCAGTAGCATCAGCAAGGACCAATGCATCGTGGGTAGAACCCTCCCAGCTAGCCAGAACCTATATAAGTGAACTTGATGCCACAATCAATAGTAGCCATCACATTCTGCATGGGGTTATGTTTCCTACCCCTAAAGGCACCCTGCATATGTCTAGGCACCCTTGCCATCACATGCGTGCCATCAATGGCACCTATGCATTCCTAAAATTGAATGGGACATTCATAAGTACATTGTTGTGAAGGATTGATCTTATGAAAAGCATTAGGCCCATGGACTAATAACCTTAAAAATGGATTTCATCTTTGGCTTCCAAATATTTTAGGATGAGTTTCAGTGCTTAGTGGCATGATCATCTTATTCCTGAGTTCCCCAACAGCATAGAGCACCTGGTGGAAGTGCCTACTCACAGTTTCTATGGACCTCCTAAAGTTTTGGTGAACTACTCAAAACCTTTGATTATGACTAACAACATGAAGGAACATTGAGACATGTCCTCTACACTCGAATTGATGCTATCTAGTACAAGGTCACTTTGCCTAATCAAATAATTGTACAATGCAAAAAAGGTGCTCTAATCATCCTTAACATTGCCAAACACTCAGCATATCAGTTGAGTTTGTAAATTAATTCAAGGTTCTTCTGCCTATGCCCATCTGCTTCTGACTTAGGACCATAGACAACTGGTTCATCATCCCCCAATGCCTCTTTAGCCTAGAACATAGGAATGCTACCGTTACAACAACCATGGCAGTAGTAGCCTAACATGCCATCAACAAATGTTATTGTTGTTCATCCATCTACATGCAGTAATGAATAAGGTAGACTTAAGGATCATGGCAGCGTTGCTAACCTCAAAATGTTCTGCATTCGTACTATAATTTTCCAAGCGGTGGACTAGGTGTCATCGCCTCGGCTGCTTGTACAAACAAAGCCACCCTGAGGCTCAGCCTTCACATCATAGACATAGAACAACAACAAAAAATGATAACAAGGACCCCAATTGCAACATCAATAGTACAGTAAACCCTAAATCTTGAATCAAAACCACATGAACATAAATTGAGCCTCACAGATGAAGGATTACCCCTAAACAATGACAAATCCGCACCCCCAAATACTTTCCCCAATGCTTTGCGACACGACACCCCCAAATCGAAACATGAGGAAGCAAAATCAAGGAATATAAAATTGAATGGGACATTCATGAATAGACCAATTAGAAGGAGTGATCTTATGAAAAGCATTAGGCCCCTTTCTATAAGCGTAAAAAGATGATCTTTGGAGAGAAGATGTAGGATGAGTTTTGAAGACAACGTAGAACAACAATGGAACGAAACAACAAACAAGAAGACAACGATGGTCCAGGAACAAACAAGAAGAAGATGACGGTCCAGGAAAACTAACACGCCCTAGCAAGATGCGACCAACAGAGAAAGGGAAGAGACACCCCCCGAATTGATGCTATCTAGTACAAGGTCCTAATCAAATAATTGTACACCACCACGAGAAGAAGAAGCACAACACCCCACACCTCTAGCTAGATGGAACAGGGAGTTTGTAAATTAACAGGTTCGACCACGCCTATGCCCATCTCGCTTCTCGACTCACCACCACCACCCAAGGGAGAGGATCATCAGGCAATGCCTCTTTAGCCTAGAAGAGGAATGGAAGAGGCGAGGAGACGGTAACCAAGAATAAAAAGGGGAGGTATAACCATCACAAGAATGTTGGTGGAAATGCCCCCATTCTCATGCGGGAATGAATAAAATGACCGAGGGCACATGGCGCCGTTGCTAACCTCAAAAGAAACGAAACTCTATAATTTTCAAGCGGTGGACTAGGTGTCATTGCTCAATGGTGTTTTAAGCACCGTGCAGCCCAAGTCCACCAGTGAGCCCCCAGGCAAAGAAACACTTTGGGTTGCAGCTAGCCACCCATGCTCGTGCCCTCTTGTAGGCAAACAAGCATGCCCATAGTGTATATATCTAAGCATATAGTAAAAGTAATATATCTAGGAAAGTCAAACTGTCTTATAATTTGGAATGGAGGGAGTACTTAGGTCGTCCCCAATAAGCAAGCTTGCTCCCTACGTGGAGGAGAGGGAATAGAAAAGCAACTAGCTAGCGAGATGAGAATAGCCCCAAATCGAAACATGAGGAAGCAAAATCAAGGAATATCAGCACATGAATAAATTTTCAATTAGGAGAGGTGAATTTTTCCTTTACACAAACCAAGATGAGCGAGGAGAGAAGATGTTCTTCTGAACTAGCAACGTAGAACAACAATTGAGCGAAACAACAAACAAGTGTAGATGGTCTAGAACAAAAAGAAGATGGTTCATCCTCAGGCAAACTAACACGCCCTAGCAAGATCTGGCAACAGAGTAATATTTTATGTTTTTCTTTGCTCTCTCTCCTGCACATCAGCTAGCTATTTGAAAAGCTTGTTGGGGACTCTAGCTAGACTATCTCCAGCGAACGCGAGGCAAACACATGACCATATTCACCGCCACCACCCAAGGGAGAGGACTGCACAGGCAAGTGCGAGAGTGAAAGGAAAGGCACCCAAAAGGAGGCGGTAACCAAGAATAAATGGGAGCAAAAATAACCCCACAGCGCCGCCCGCCTGGAAATGCCCCCATTCGCCGCCGCCTCCTCGCCCTCCTCCCCCCCGAGGGCACAACCGCCTGCCGGCCCAGCTGGAGGCCTCGAAACTCACCTCCATGCCGGATTCGCCGAGGAAGGAGGGATCTCAATGGTGTTTTATATGCCTCGATCCGCCTCGAAGTCCACCTCGATCCAGCCCTCAGCAAAGAAACACTTTGGGTTGCAGCTAGCCACCCATGCTCGTGCCCTCTTGTAGGCAAACAAACATGCCCATAGTGTATATATCTAAGTAGCGGGTCGCGTAAAAGTAATATATCTAGGAAAGTCAAACATCTTATAATTTAAAGCGTGAGGGAGTGCAGCGTGAAGGGGCGCCGCCGGCGGAATAAGCAAGCAAGGCTGCTCGTGGAGGAGAGAATAGAAAAGCAACTAGCTAGCGAGATGAGGAAGCCATCGGATTGGATCTTCGGCGCGTGGCCGCCATGGAGCTGAGAAAGAAGCGCCGCCACCATGGAGGAGCGGAGCTTCGCGCTTCGTGGCATCCCTATTTCTCACAGCGGATGTGGAGGTGCGCGCGAGGCGACGAATTTGGCTGAAATCTCACCGTCTAGCACAAAAATCGATGGTTCATCCTCTCACAACTCCTGTGGTCCTGGCTGTTGTAATATTTTATGTTTTTCTTTGCTCTCTCCTGCACATCAGCTAGCTATTTGAAAAGCTTGTTGGGGACGCCCTTAGCAGGGTCTTTGATATTCTAATCTAGAAGCTTGCAGTTTAACACACATAGTCTTGCTTTACAGGGTCTTCGATTTCGTTATGAAGGAAAGCCGGGAAAGGACAAGTGACATTGCGAATGCTATGAGGGGTTCGCTGGCAGTCGTAGACGCCACGTTCCTGAGGGCATCCAAGAGAAAGAAAGGGAAAGCCGTGTCGGTCACATGCTGTGTGCTAGGGTTCGTGGTATATATTGTTCAGTTTGTTGCAATTTCTGAATTTGTGCTGTACCCTGTAGCGGTTCTGTATTGCTATGGGCCGGGGATCTCCCTGTGGCTTTCCATGTGGCGCCTTCTTAGCGTGGATGACTACGACAGCATCCCCGACGACAAGAAGAAGGTGCCCATGAACCTGTCGTCGGCGCTCACCGTCCTCTATTCCTTGGGAGTGGCACAAGGCGTCGTCTTCGTCTACGGGGACCTGTGGAATCGGCTGGCGAGAACCGGGCTAGCCAAAGAAGTGGCTGGGGACAGTAGCCTGGACACACAACTTGTGTCCGAGTACCTAGAGGACACCGTGACGGAGTGCAGGAAGGACCCATCCTTCGCCAGGAGGAGGAACTTCGTCACGTACGCTGTGAACTTGCTGCTGATGGAACCCACGTCCACATCCACATCCACATCATCCACCAGCAGCAGCAGCAAGTATCTCTCCGGGCTTACCATCCTCGGCTCCATCCTCCACCTCCAGCGGGACGATGACGACACGGACACCACCCGGCCGTGGCTCCATGGACAGGCAACCATGACGAAGCAGCTGCTCACAGCGTCGGCGTCCTTTGGCCAGGTGACCCACAGGCTGCTGGAGACGCTCGGTCCTGCAAGCCCGTACAGCGGAGCGGTGAGGCACCGCGCCGCGAGGGTACTGGAGGAGGTCGCCGGCAGCGTCCGCCTGGAGGAGTTCCCCGGAGCGACGCGGTGCATATCTTCTTCGCTGCTCGGCACGTTCGAGGAGCACTGCTGGAGGCCTGAGGGGTACGAGCGGGACCGAGACCTGCCCGAGGTGTACGAGCGGGACTGGCTGCTGAAAGAGCAGGAACGCCGCTACATACTGGAGGTTGTGCGCCGCAGTCGCACGCCCTCGCCCTCTCTTCTTCGTCGTCTCCTGAAACCATGCCGGCGCGTCGCCGGCGCCAATGGGGACGGATCGGTTGCACTTGCGCCGCCACGACCGGCGGAAAGTGACGGAGAGAAGAGCCGCTCTCTCGTCCGTGGCTACGTCGGGCTGTCGGTCTCAGGCCTCCGCGTGCTTCAGGCGCTGGCCGCCAGTGAGGACAACTGCAGGTTCATCAGCAGCACACGAGATGGAGGTGGTGGTGGTGGTGGCGGCGAGGTGTCCAGGATCATGAGGCCTCTGGCCTCGGATGGATTCCACAGGGACCACCACGACGAATGCTGCATGATAGCAGAGGAATCGCTCAAGCTCCTGAGCCGGCTCACGGCTGCTCCCGGCGAGACCGGAGAGGCGCTGCGGGCTCAGATCGCCGGCGACACGGCGGGAGCCGTCGCCGCCCTCGAAACTGTTCTTGGGTGCCCCAGATGCCAAGTGGCGCTGAAAAGGCAGGCAGTGGAGGTCCTCCTCGGCCTGCCCATGGCGGGCACGTCCTCCATTGTTGTGTCCCGTGGAAGTAGCACCAGCGGCAGCGGCAACACAGCAATAATATTCATGGGGATTCTGCTGCACATTTTCCTCTTGCCGGATAAACACTTCGGCGGCATGTCGGGTCCCACCCATGTTCTGAAGAAGAGAAGCTGCACCAGAAGATTGGCAGGCGAGAAGCTGCTCGCCATGGTTTCTGCTTTGCAACAACCAAGCGAGGACCATGGAGGAGGTGCCACTGCCACTGCCACGACCACGAGCATGTTGCAAGCGGCTGGTGCTGCTCTGGGCAACCTCGCGGGCACGGTGGTTGGTGCTGGAAACGATGCGTCATGGCGGATACATGCAACACGCGTCCTGCAGGACCTGTGCCAGGATTACACCAAGGATGATGAATATCTCAAGGAAATCAAGAAAGCCATGTGTCTTGCAATGCCAGAGGTACGGTATTTCAGTTTCTGCCAATGCAATTCAGTGTGTTATCATCATCGATCCCCTTAATTTGTGAGTGAAACTGAGCCACTACTGATACCGATGCAGGTGATCAAACAGCTACTTGATGGCTGTGTGTCGACAACGCAAGCTGTAACTGTAACAGAAGCAAAGAAGATCGTACACTGTCAGGCACCAGCTGCCGGTACCGACTTAGAACAAGGTGTTATTTCAGATGACACCATTGGCGAGGAGACCAACGCTTCTCATCATCGTCAGCAGGCAAAGGATGATGATGAGCAACCAGCAGAGGGAATGGAACTGTACCAAGCCTTGGTATCCTTGTGCCATGGGATACCCAACAGCTGGATCGAGATAGACAAAGATTTGGCCGGTGAACTGAACGGCATCGCAGCTGAGATTTGTGCCAAAGAGGGCATGCCTTTAGGTACTTTCATTTCGCTACGGACCGAATTAAAGCGTAGATATTGTTGGGAGGAGAAGAATGCTCGCGTTCGTGCCAATTAAACAGACCGTCATCTTCATATGTAAAACAGAGTACTAGTGTATGTGGCCATGACCACGCTCATCTGATGTAATAAGGCCGGGGTACAGGGTTTTTTGCCCCTGATAAAAAATCTTATAATTAGAAAGGTATGCTAGAGTGCTGCCGTGCTGGTATGGTGCATCTACAGAACACCAAATCATCTCTACTTCTACATTTAGTTGTAAAATGGCCACTAAAAAAAAAGGCTCGCTCCAGTGGCGGAGCTAGGATCTGAAAGTTGGGTATTCCTACTTTCACGTCACATAAAAAAACCAATCCATAGATTTAAGCCAATAGCACTGTAAATCAGTAAACTCTAAACTAATATTTGCTTTCTAGGATCTAGACTTCTAATTGAAATTTTCAGCTGCTTAAACAACAGATAAGAAAATTGAACAAGCAGGAAGGCAGGAACTGGAGTCTCGAGACCTCAGACCAGTGGCGGAGCTCGAACAAAAATTTAGGTGGAGCACATCAGAGACACAACTTTTTAATGACATCGCAAGGACACACATCATTAGCTAATCTATGACAAATTTAAACATTGATTGATGATGGTACCTCTCATCTATTAATTCAACAAAGACCAACCGAGCAAGAAGTGTCAATATTAAAGACCAAAATCCAACTTTCCAAGAGCTAAGAAACTAGAAAATTTGAAGAACAAATTAGTTAATGACTTAGTGTGTGGTGTATGAGGAGACATTCAGACATACCAAGATCTGCTCAGCCTGCTCCTCCCTCTCCCTCCCCTATCATCTGCTTGCGCCCCCACCAAATCCTCCTCCTCAATCAGAGCGGCCTGCCTGCACCATTGTTACTATAACACCCCTCGGTATTACCCCGTTAATCATCTACTAAAACATGTCATGAGCATCATACTTGTGTGTTAATGCATGTGGTGAAGTGTGTAGATTAATTTCTGTAACTCAAAATGATCAATAAAAATGCTAAACGAAAGTTGGTTCGATGGTTCATGCATATCAAGTATGGTTTAAAATCAATTTTTATTAAGTAAAAATACTATAAAATATGTGTGTGATACTTAAATAAAGTTGGAAGTGTAAACTTTGTAGATGACAATGAAATACTTGTTGAAAAAGAATATTGCTAAGTAATATTTTCAGTAGCTTAGAAATGCAATATGAAATTAAGATTAGCTCAAACGCTTAGAAAATTTCTAAGTCTGTGGACAGCTAGACGCTGCTATGTTTAGCAATTTAATTGAAGAGATTGGGTTAAGGAGTGGTGTAGTGCTATGATTCAATTTAGTAGTTCCATATGCCATCTTGAGTGTAGTGAAGCCAGTTTAGGTTTAGGAGCAACGATTTGGTCGTGATCAGCGCTTTAAAATTCGTACATGTCACAGCTTTGTGCTGTCTGGCGCCGTGCGCGTGGTCACCACGCGTGGCCGACCCACGTCGTCGCGCGGTTGTGCCATGCGCGTGCGCGTGGCCACGCACCGGCTGTCCATGGCCGCCGTGGCCTTGCCGCGGCTTGGCCGCTCTGGCCGCACATCTAGGCCGCCAGTCCGCTCTACGCCTGATCGCCCCTGCCACCATGGCTACCGCTGGTGCTGCTGCTGTCTCCGTGCCCGCGTCGCGACAACGCCGCTGCCGCCACTGTTGCATCACCACGTGCTGCCGCTGGCCCGCCTTGAGGCTGCGCGTACGTGGCCATGTCACCATCGCCTTGCCATTGATGGCACTGTGGCGCGCGGGCCACGTCGGTCGTGAGCGTGCGTGTTTGTCGGCTAGTGCCTAGCCACAGGCTGCGCCGATTTCGCTAACCGCGTCCCGCCAAGGCACGCTGAAAGCATCTAGGCCCCTAGTTGGATTTCGGTGATTAATGACAATACGTGATTACTATGACTAACGTGTGTTTTGTAGAGGCAATTAAGTTAGGTCACGGTAATGGAGATCGATTGGGCAATTATGGTGGTCTTGCCCCTACGATGTAAATCGTTTTAGTTTTCAAAGGATGGACGATAAGGTTAAGGATGGACTAGTTCTAAGTGTCGATTGGAGTTGAGAAGACACTTAGAGTAGTTTAGGACTTTGTTTTTCCTTTGGCCGTACTATTAAGGGGGGTATGGATGGGTAGCTTGACCTAGGTGAGTCTAGTGAGTTAGGTGTGGTGCACACTTGTTAAAACTAGCACTAGATAGCTCCAAAATAGCCCTTTGATTCAATGGAGCAAACTTCATTCACATATGATCGAGAGTTGGAAGTGAATGGAGGGTCAAATACTAACCGGACGCTGGCTCCGGATTGACCGGACGCTGGCGCAGAGTCCGGACAGTTCATTTGACCAAGGTAAAAATGTTTGGTGCGACTGGACGCTGAGAGGTGAAGTGACCGAACACTGAGGGCCAGCGTCCGGTCGACTCCAGTAAGGTTCCAGAGAGGGAAAATCACGACCGGACTCTGGCCACTGTAAACACTAGAGTTTGGGTGTACTGACCGGAGCATCCGGTCAACATGATCAGAGCGTCTGGTCACCCCGCAGAGGCACATAACGGTTTGTTTTTCAGCCGGTGTTATAAATACAACCTCCACTCGTGTGTGGGGGTACTTTTGCTCATTCCAATAGCTGAGAAACACCTTAGAGAGTGCCAATAAAAGCAAGGTCCTAGTGAGGTGATTGAGATTTGAGAATCCCAAAGAGAGCCCTCATTAGCAAGATCAAGATTAGCAAAGTGTGCATCCACCCTTCTCATTAGGCTTGTCGTGGTCAAGTGAGAGTTCATGCTTGTTACTCTTGGTGATCGCCATCACCTAGACGGCTTGGTGGGGATTGGGAGTTGGTGATCATCCGGATTGTTTGTGGATGACCCAACTCAAGTTGTGAGCGGTTGTGGGTGATTCACCGCGACGTAGTGTCGAAGAATCAACCCGTAGAGAGCACTTGATCCTTGCGCGGATCAAGGGGAGCTACACCCTTGCGCGGGTGCTCCAACGAGGACTAGTGAGGAGTGGCGACTCTCTGATACCTCGGCAAAATATCGCCATGTTTCCTCTCCTCTCTTTACTTTGAGCATTTACTTTGAGCAATTCAATTCTTGTCATTTACATTCATAGATTTGCCATGCTAGAGTAGGATTGGAACTTAGGTTGCTAAACTTTTGTGCGTTAGTTCAATAGAAACACTTTCTAGGCACAAGAGATTAATTGGGCTAACCGTAGGACTTATTTATTGCGAAGAAATTTAGAATTAGCCCAATTCACCCCCTCTTGGGCATCTTGATCTTTTCAATTGGTATCGGAGCCTCGTGCTAACGTATTTAGGCTTAACTGCCTAGTGAAAGATGTCTCACGGGGATGGACCTCCTCCTATCTTTGAGGGGGACGATTTTCCTTATTGGAAAATTTGTATGGAGGCATACTTAGAAGCTCTAGATGTTGGAATACTTAGAGCCGCCTCTCAAGGCTTCCCAAGACCTAAGGATGCCGCACACCCACAAGGCGATGAGTTGAACTACGAAAAATGGAATGCAAAGGTTAGAAATACCATATTTAGAGGCCTTTGTAAAGATGTGTTCAACCGGGTGAGGAACCACAAAGACGCCCATGCACTATGGTCGGACGTTTGTGCGCTCCATGAGGGAACAAAGAGTGAGCGTGAGGAACGCTATCATCTTGTCATAAAAAAGCTCAACTCATTTGAAATGCTTCCTAAAGAATGTGCTAATGAAATGTATTTATGTTTGAATGTTCTTGTTGAGAAAGTCAATGGGCTTGGACTTACTCAAATGCAACCATCCGATATTGTAAGAAAGATATTGAGTGTCCTTTCCATTGAAAAATATGGGCATATTGTGACCGTGCTACATCAAGGTGATCTTTCCACCGCTACACCGACACAAATCATGGGAAAGATCAATGCTCATGAGATGTACATGCACATCACACCTCAAGATGGCTCATCCTCTACAAAGAAGAAAGAAAAAGATTTAGCATTCAAAGCTAGCCAAGAGAAGGGCAAAGCAAGACTTGAGTATGAGAGCTCAAGTGATGATGAAGTTGATGATGAAAGTCTTGCTCTCATGGTGAAGAAAACCGCCAAGATGCTAAAGAAGCTCAACAAGAGTGGCATCAAGTTTGATGGCAAGAAGAAGAAGTTCTTCACTAGCTCTAAAAGAAAGCCAATCTCTGAGATGGATTGCTACAATTGTGGAGAACTTGGTCATCTAGCTCACCAATGCGCAAAGCCCAAGAAAGACAAGTTCAAGAATAAGAACAAGGGCAAGAATGATAACTCAAGCAATGAAGATGAAGATGAGAAGAAAAAGAATAAGCCATACAAAAGAGAGATGGCAAGAAGAAGGACTTCCACAAGAAGAAAACGAGTGGAAAGGCTTACATCGTTGGTGATTGGCTCACGGACATTGATTCATCTAGTGGATCATCCGATGATGAAAGTGATGACGAGAAGGTGGTCGCTATTGTTATTGACTCTCCATCATCTTCACCGCCACCACCTCCATCATCTTCTACACACCTATGCCTTATGGCCAAAGGTAAACGAAAGGTATCACATGATGATGATAGTAGTGGTGATGATCATGCTCATAATGATGATAGTGATAGTGATAACGATGATGATGAATATGAATCACCTTCTTATGATGATCTTGCTAAATTGATAAAGAAATACACTAAGATCATTATAAAGACTAGAGCTAAAAATGAAAAGCTTGAGATTAAAAATGATTCTCTCTTAGCTAAATGTGACATAGCCGAAAAGTCTAGTGTTGAGCTTAGAGAAGCAAATAAAGCTATGTCATTCAAACTCAAGGAGCTCAAATCTTTTAAGAAAGAGCTTAAAAATAAACATGATAAACTTGAGTGTGCACAAAGAGCTCATCACTAGCTACAACAAGCTAAAAGAAGAATATACTACCCTTAAGATTAATCATGATAGTCTTGTCATTGCTCAAGAATTTTTACCCAATGAGCCACATGATGCTACTAACCATGTT